ACGAGGGAGAAACGAAGAATCAAAGATAGGGGAAAATTGGTTTCGGGCTTCTCTGAGAAACAGAAGGGGGCCCTATCGTGACGCTAAAATCCCCTATCGTGAACCAAAATCCCCTATCGCGAACGCAGGATGTTAAAAGCCTGTTTTGTGCGTTTTTGCAAGGGGGAGCTGGGTTTTGGATCCCAAACATCCAAGGGATGAACCAAAGAGAGAGAGAGGGTGATTTGAGGGCATTCTTGGAGTGGAATTGGAGGATTTCTTCGCCTTGGAAGCTCGAGTAACAAGACCGGACTTGAAGACTGATCATCTGAAGATTCTTACTGCAGTCTCTCTCTTCTCTATGGAGTAACTTCCCTTCACTTAGGTTTTGAGGAACCCTAGCTATGTTTGTTTGATTGGATGATTGTATGAGTACTCTGACTTGATAATCTTGAGTTCATATTCAATCTATGCATGTTTTCATGATTCAATTCTGCTTTAGTCGAGATTATTGATTCTGCTTTGATCCTATGAGAGCGAATACCTGATTAGGTCAATAGAGCACCATAGATTGATAGTATTGGATCGATTGCTTTAGTCGAGGGTTGATTCACTGCTTTGTATCGATTGAGAACCTCTTTCGATAGAGGGAGTTTAGTTCAGAACGCCTTTATCGGTTGTTCTAGAGAAGGATACGTCCCTCTAGGCAATTGACTCAAGAGGGCCTTGTTCCTTTAGTCGAGACTCAAGGTCTAGTCAAGGATTCTCCGCATTGTGAATGAAAGTGAAACAAGTTAGAGATCATCAATCGTTAATCCGGCTAGTGGCTAGGGGGAATCATACCTAAGTGAGTTCCCAACCTGTGATTAGATTAACTTTAACTGTAGTTTGTTAGAGTAGTTTTAGTTCTTCCATCTTAATTTGGTTTGCTAGATAATGAACTGAAGCTGAGTAATAGTAACTCTAGAGACCCGTGGATTCGATATTTATTACTTGAGCCACTATACTGCAGTCCCTTTCATTGGTTACACTTGGCCATTGTGAGGAGTTGTGTCATAGCGAGTCAGTATTGAAAGAATGTTGCAGAGAAACCATCTGGTCCAAGGCTTTTGTCTCCATCCATACCAAAAATAACATCTTTAATTTGTTCAGCTGTGAATGGGTCACAAATACCTTCAATCTGAATATCTGATCATCAACAAGTTTCCATTTTAGTAATCCAGAGATGTAGTCATCAGTTTGAGTTTCAACCTCAGGATCTGCCACTCCTAACAACCTTTGATAAAACCTTACTACAATTTGAGACATCTCTTCAACATCCTGAATCTTCTCCCCTTGCTCATTTTTTAGAACCCTTATAGTGCTCCTCTTCTGCCTAGAGCGGATAGACCTATGAAAGAATGTTGAGTTCATATCCCCAGTTTTCAACCAGGTTTCTCTTAATTTTTGATGAAGGAAATACTCCTCATCATTAACCAAAACCCTGAGCTCCTGCTCCAGCCTCGTCACATTCCCAAAATTATCAGTGGAGGGGTCAGACAAAGTCTGTTGCTGCACAAGATAGACTTCAGCTTCCTTTTCTTTGACACGTTCCCTCAAATCCGAGTATTCCTCTCTGTTAAGCTTCCTCGGCATATTCTTCAAGTTCTTCAAATTCTTACAAACTCTAATCAAGGGATGACCAGTCACACTACTACTCCAAGCTTCTTCCAATAGCTCATCAAACTTCGGATGGCGAATCCAGAATTTGAAAGATTTAAACGGTTTCAGGAGAGATTTCAGAGAAGCACTAGTATCAACATATAAAGGACAGTGGTCAGAGACTCCAGGAGCTTGAATATAAACTTCACTATCCTTCATCTGGTCTAACCAGGAAAAACTAACAAGGACCCTATCAAGTCTTTTATCAAAGAAAAGTATTAATTTCTATGAATTTATTGATTGTCTTTCTTGTTATTAGCAATGTTCACTTTCGTTTTATTATCATTATCGGGTTTTCTTACATATAGCTCACATATGATCATATATGCTTGTTTTTTTATCTTCTTCGTTTTCATGAACTAGTTAGACAATGATTGACGACGTAAATATGAAATCGATCAAGTACTTCATTTTAAATTATAAAGATCCTTAATTAATTTGGCAACGTCTAATCACGAATTGGGAAGACTTATCCGAAACTCAAAGTTATTTTTTTCCTCATCAACAATTCAGAGTTATTAGTCAAACTACAATTGTTGGTTCAATAATCAGTACTTCTTTGAGAGACTAGAGGAGAATAAAAGTTGAAAATCAAGCTAATTAATGGGCTAGGTAGGCCAAGGAAGAACATGAGAGAAAGTGCAATGAAAACCACCCACATGCTTCCCTTTTCCTTTTCCTTTTCAATCCTTTCCCCATGATCCCATTTCCATTTCCTAGTTCTTTTCTTCAATTTTAATTTAATTTCGAGTGTTAGCTACACATGATCCCACTAATCATTGTAATGGTTGGAATAAAACCAAATCCTCATTTTTCCCTTTGCCCACACCACAAAGAAAAATACACCAAACAAAACCCAATTATTCAATGGAAAGCCAACACTAATTATTCAATGGAAAGCCAACACTACTTCTCCTTCACAATCCTTCTTTATGCTTTCCTTATCCAATTAACAACTTCCAACATACACAAATATTGAATTAATTAAGACTAATTAGAGTGATGGCAACATACAGAAGGATGTAAGGGATTGTGTGGCTTAGCTAGGCTGGCTAGTGCTTATTTTGCAATAGCATACAATGAATGAAATGGCCTTGCAAGGTAAGGTTTCCAAAATAGAGGATAATAATACATATGATTCCCAATCCAACATATTATTATTGCATAACATATAATAAATCAGAACTTCATTTCACAAAGCTTCTTCCTAAATTGAGTTTAGGGAGGTTAGCTTTATTCACGAGAAAACCGACCAGAAAACCGACTCAACGTCAAGGTACATACACTAAAATTAAATCAAGAATGTGCTTGCCATAATTTCACGAGTTTAGTCAGATAATTCGACTCAAGATATATTTAGAAAAAATTATAAGTAGTTTTTTTACTAATAACTGTCACTCTTTACAATTAATGCAATCAGAGAAATAAGATAATTTAGGGGTATGTTTATGATGGTAATATGCTTTTGGTTGTTGAGTTTGACCCGTAATTATTTGAAGAACAGAATGACTACTCTAACTAAGTAATTAGTTACATGTGACCTAGCTTTATGGTCTTTTCTACCTTGTCCCTTTTGTCTTTAGAGTTAAGCAACTCACAAGATACATTGAAATGAAACTACTAGCAAAGCAATAATATTCTACCCTCCCATAATTTGTTACATGGCATGTAATTAAACTAGACACTAATTGACACATAACCATAATCAAGATGTTTGGTTTGGTACTTTAGCAACATGATATCATCATTAATCAACCACACCAAACTAGTCTCTTATCTTAATCTTCTACCCTCTTCATCCCTTTCTTTTCATTAGTTCTAACAAAAACCTCGACATTTAGAAGAATAAAAAAGACAATGGATTATGTCAATGATACGAAAGTTAAAATAAAGTAGTATTATAGAGGCTCATTCTTCTTCAAAGGACAACTACCTGAATTATCAAACACAATGAGCAGATGTTATTATGTTGAGACACATGGTATGGTAAGAATGGGAATCATATGTTAAATGACATATTTTCCCCCCAAAGCAAGCTTGAAAATAAGCATTTTGGCTTATGAAGATTCATACCTAAATTTAAATAATAAAACAGACCCTCCCTAGTCATCTTGTAGTTAATTTGATGTTTAGAGAGTCTCATATTGTTGATTCATCACAAAGATACTTACCTAAATTTAACTTTCCAAAGTATGATACAATGATAGACACACATACATATATATATGAAAACCAACAAGATCAAACCATCCAGAATCAAGATCAACGAGATAATTTTTTCATCCAACTCTTTTAGTTTTCCTTTTGCCCTAAACGAAAATTTACCCAGGGCCGCATCCTGATAAAGTGAGGCGTCAAAAGCTAATTTGAAGTCCTTAGTTGCTCCTAAAGACAGGGTTATCTCTCGGTCGATTACCCTTAATCGCATACATGCATTGGTCAAGATTAGAAGGTGCCAATTGAACTTAACTACTTGTGCACTTTTTTATATGGTATTCTTGCATAATCAAGAGATCGTCTATTTTTACTCTATGATTACTTTACGTCCTATGCTCGGTGCGGGTGTATACATCAGTCTCTATTTATTGCATCGTCAGATTTGGTTGAATCTCTTGATAGGTTTGTTTCTTAGTGTAGCTCGTCTGGAGTATAGCTGGGAGCTTTTGCAAGAAATGTGTAGACAGTTATACGTTGGTACAAAGATGATTGAACAAACATTTCTAGTTAAAATGCAACATATGGTTTCCCTTGTTAAGCAGTAGGTTACCCCAATACATGTGTGTGTCTATAGTATTTGTACACTTGTTTGTGATTTAATTACTAATAAAAGTTTGAGGACTGAATTAGTAACTGTAATAAAATTTAGTGACCCGTCACGAGATTTACCCTCTCTCTCAGTAGAAAAGTGGAAAGAGAGCGCCAATAAATGTGATTAAGGAGTGGCCGCGTGGTTTCCCGTGACCTTTTCCTGTTTTTAAAGCCCCGCACTCTCCCCCTTCTTTCCCTCTTCCTCTCCAAAATTTGCTCTCATTTCCCTCTCTTCCCCTTCACCGCCATCGCCGCCGTCGTCGAGTTCATCTCACTCAGCCGCCTTCTAATTCCTCTTTCTCTGTTTCGGAAGGTAAATTAATCTCTCTCTCTCTCTCTGTGCATTTCATTGATAGAATCTAGTTAAATTTTCGCAGAGACGGTAGATTACGTCCTCTGTTCGATTCACAGCTAGATTCGTACTGTATTGACTCTGTTCTCGGCGATTTTGATTTTCTCCAGGCGATATAATAGACCGGAGATTCGCTCTCTTTCTAGTTTCAATTTTATCCATGGCGTTGCCGATCGGTGGCGCGGATCCCGAATCGATTAGCACAGGCGGCGGCGCTTCTTCCGAGGAATTACAACAGCAGCAGAGGAGAAAGCGGAGAAAAATTGCGCACGATTCCGATTGCGCCTCCACCAGCGGCGGAGTCGGAGAGGAGAAGCCGAGGAGGTGGAGGACGGAGGCGGAGCACCGGATCTATTCCACCAAGCTGCTCGAAGCTCTGCGGAGCTCTCGGCGGAGCTCCTCCTCCGCCTCCGCCAGCGGTACGCTGGTGAGGGACGCGGCGGATAGAGTGCTGGCCGCCGCAGCGCGCGGCTCGACGCGGTGGAGCCGCGCGATTCTCGCGAGCCGCCGGAGGCTGACCAGAGTCAGGAAGGTGAGGAGGGCGCGAGTGATCGGCGAGGCGAGGTCGACGGATAGGCGGAAGCAGAAATTGTTTGCGGCGGCGGAGGAGGAGGAGAAGAATAAATCCACGTCGTCGTCGCATCCTCCGCCGGCTGTGGAGAAGCGAATCCGTACGTTGAGCCGGCTGGTTCCTGGCTGCCGGAAGGCGCCGCTGCCGAATCTGTTGGAGGAAGTCGGGGATTACATCGCGGCGCTGGAGATGCAGGTGAAAGCCATGGCGGCCCTCGCCGAGATTCTCGCCCCCGGCGGCGGCGGGGCTGCTCGGGGTCCGGAGGTTAGCGCCCAATGATAATCAATTCCCTCCCGAAAATCCGCCGCCGGCGCGTGGAATTAGTAATGGCAGGTGTTATTATTATAATATTATTATTATTTTAGAAAAAACAGTTTTACCATTTTGTTTATTTTTTTTTTTTAAATTTTCCGGGTGCTTGTATTCTGATTTAATTATCATGCTATTTATTTATTTAGCTTTGCCATTTTCTTGATTATTGATTCTTGGTCCTTCATTCTGTACATGTAATTCTTTTCATTCTGGTCCCCTGATTTCTTTTTAATTTTCCTCTTCGCAATGCCAACTCATATGTCTTGTCATTTGGTAATAGAAATTAGAAACAGGGGGCAAGACTTTGCAATTTTTAACAAATCAATTATTGGTAATTTCGATTTAGTTAATTAATAATGGGGGATGAGCAAATTCTTTGTTGGCGTGGTGACAAACTGACAATGCGTTGGACAGCCTAATCATTTTCTCCTTGTTTGTCTTAAACTCGATCAGGAAGGTATTACAATTCTTAACCCCAAAGCCAAACAAGCCTCCAAAATGGCAATCTCCAAATATGAAGTTGTTAACTACTTCACAAAGTACGGATTGGTGAATCTTTTCAAGATAAAAAAGGGTGCATTATGAATACATTTCTTATTGTAGCTCATTTGCCCTTTTACTAGGAGTACTTGCTTATAAAGGGCGTTTGTTTTGCCACGATGTGGCCTACGCTGTTTCACAATCCTACTAATTTTTATGAAAATATGGTGCGAAATTCTACACTTAATTATACAGAGGCAGGCAGTATAACCAATCCGGAGTCTCCAATGTTCACGTCTACAACTTTCTTAATCGTGAATCATAGTCGAAGTAATCATTATTCACAACCAAAACATTGAGCCGATCATATATCATTTCCGCTCCCTACGACAGAATTCACAAGATAATGAAATTTCTACTGCACAAGATCCCATGAACACCAGTATCCTAGATGAAACAAGAAATTCAACAAACGAGAAGTTACGAGAACTCGAATGAAATCAAGTTTTCTTCGGACGTGGTCAGGATTTTTGAACACATGAAACTTGATTGATCCACATCAAATAAGGAGAGTTGAAAGTTGAGAATGGATGGTTTAAGAGAGAAAAAAGCCCTATAATTAGCGAGGCATGTAGGGTCGAAAAGGCATTCAGTAAAGGGAAGAGGGTCTCACACTCTGTCTAGTAGTAGTACTAATAGTACCAAAGCCATTACCACCTCCACGAGCAGCGGCAGGAACAGAGGGAAACAAAACATACACCACCACCGCCTTAATCCTCTCTGGGCCTCTCTCTCTCTCTCTCTCTCTCTCTTCCAGTCCCATGTGCAATTCTGACCCTACCAAATGGCTCTCCCCTTTGCCAAATTTCACAAAACCCAAAATGGCTCGCATGTGCTCCTCTCTGAATTCCCCTTCCTTACTCTGTTCTCTTCTGCTCTGTTTTTCCTTCACAATGCCCAATCCCCTCTCCTCTTCCTATCTATCCACCACCTTCACTCTCTCTTTTCTCATTTTGATTTTTCTTTTGAGGAAAAGGGTTGATGCAAAAAAAATAAAAAAAATGTGTACTTGGTGAAAGATTTTACATTCAAGTTGCACACTAGTAGCTAGCCCTCTGCTTTTGCTTTTACTTGAACTTCTTCCCTCTCCAATTCAAAGAACCCAATCGCCAAAGCCAAACACCATCCCTCCTCTTCCTCTTGTGTGGACCAATCGATAACACTCTCTAGTCTCCCACCACTTCACCTTTGCCCTGCCCGGCCCCCATCTCTCCAGTTGTTTCGAGTTATGGGCAGGATAAAGATGAAACAAGTACCGTGTAATCTGCTGAATCATGGTACTAGTAAATCCTTTCCCACATGATGCAACTAGTTCAGAGACGGTCTCAACATGGTGACAACTGTTGGTGATAAAAAAAAAACAACAACAAGTTTTACAGCATGAGGATTGTGCTGATTTTTTTATGGGATGAGAATGTTGTTGGTAGAACTGGACATAATTCATCGCAGTACGATCTAAATGATCAATCTCGTGTTTCGAGTATGCATCTGAAGAAGAACGAAAGTACGTAAGAAACTGTTCAAGCCTACAATTTGATTAGATGATATTCAGTTTGATTGACAATTTGAATCCAATTCATTCCCAAATAAATTCAACCAGTGCAATTATTCGATTCAAGTACATTTTATTGGTTTAATGGATTTTTCAAAAATTAAAGTTTAGTATTTTATGTATTTTATATTCTACAATTTGATACCGAAACTTCAATTTCCATAATGGTTCAAAGTTTAGATGTCATTTGGATTCATCCACAAATCCAATACATAAATCCATGGATTCATTTAATCCTATCAATAAATCTACCTATTCATCGATTCAAAATGCCAATTCATTTATTGCCTCTCTTTTAATATGATAAAGACTCCTCTTGTCATCTTATTTAGAAGAAGATTGAAATTGCTAAAATTGAAATATGATTTAATTATAGGGTTAATAGCATTTTGTACCTTCTATTATGATGAATTAACACACGTACCCCTCTACTAATTTTTTGCACAAACATACCCTTCTAATAATAAAACGTAACAAGTTTACCCTTCCATCTAATTATCTGTTAGGTGGTCGTTAAATGAGTTGGGAAATGACTCAATTGCCCCTCATTTTCTTCTAGTTTCAATTTCAATTATTTTATTTATCTCTCAAATCAATTAATTTTAAAAATTAAATTCCTAAACTAATTCAGAACAACCCACCGTCTCCCCAAAGATCTAGCAAATGAAACTTCTAACGAGTGAGTGGAAACTCATCTACTCCACTCGTTTTCTTCGCACCTTCAAGGCTTTCACTATTCTTTACCGACAATGGCCGCCATCGCCGCCGCTCGACTCTCGCTTCTCTCTCCCATAACCCGTCGATCAATTCCTCCAAACGAACACTTCTCGGGTACCCAATCCCCTATTCGAAGCTGAAGAGGTTACTCGAAAGCAAAAAAAAAAAAAAATCGCTCTTGTGATTTTGACTATGAGACATATGTAAGGTTGGCAGCTTGATTGGTTTTCACTTCAGGCTGGGAATTGGGTCGATGGTGCTTGAGGAGGCGGATTCCTTGAAAACTGACGGAACCTCCCCGCCGAGTCGGACTTATCGCCAGGGAGACTTCGGGGAGACGGCGGGTTCTACTGATTTAGTTTAGGGATTTAATTTGTTTAATTAATTGATTTGAGATATAAATAAAATAATTAAAAAAGAAATTAGGAGTAAGCGAGGGGCTATTGGGTCATTTTCCAGCTCATTTAACGTGCACTTAACAGAAAATTAGATGAAAGGGTAAACTTGTTACGTTTTAATATTAGAACGGTATGTTTGTGCAAAAATTTAGTAAAGAGGTACATTTGTTAATTTATCAGAGTAGAGGGGTACAAATTTCCCTAACCCTTAATTATACTTTAGTATAATCTTGTACAACTAGCTTGTGGTTTATGTTCGACTCTCACAAAACGAACCAAGGGGTCGTTTTGAAAGTTGAGATTTCTGATGATGCGTTCAGATGAAGGCGAATCGCTGGAACATTTATTCCTTGCGTGTCGTGTGGCAGTAGATTTCCGTCAACGGTGTGGTTTACATCTGCCTCCGGGAATTTTTTCAAGCACACATTTGTCCATCTTTTTAAGACACATCATTCTCTCCGATCATGCCACCATAATAAATTGGGTCCTCTTTTTTTGGCGGATTTGGAAAGGGCGGAATAATGTTGTCTTTCCACCCTATGCACAATTTACCACTGCTGCCTTGTACCGTCACCTATTATCTCATCATGCCACTCATCAAATTGCCATCCTACCCAATCAGTCACCGCCACCCAGACCTCAGCCTTATCCTCATTCGACGTTGCATTCTACTTTTCGCATTGCAGTTGATGGGGTGACAAGTGCTCCGACTCATGGCGCAATTGGCGTGGTGGGTTTGGATAAGAATGTGCCAGTTTTTGCAATGGGTGGTTTCTTTCCAGGCATTTTTCATCCTAAAATCATGGAGGTGTTGGCAATTAGAGAAGCTATATTACTACTTCGACAATGGCAGTGGCAGGATCGACCGATTGTGATTACGAGTGATGCTCTTGCGGTTGTACAACATTTGAAGGCTTCTGATGCCAATGATGCCCTTGTGGGGGCTATCTTACGAGAAGTCATCTTTATGTTGCAAGAATTGCCACTGGTTTCTGTTGCTTTTACTCCTAGAGAAGCAAATCGGGCTGCCCATGTTGTGGCACGTAATGCCTAATGCTACTCTGGCTCTTGTAGTGTTCGTTTTAATTGTTCTTATTTGCTTTGACTATCATTTCACGAAGGAGCCGTTGTATTGTGGCTTTCTCGTGCTTACCTAGTTAATCCGCAACGATTTCTATGACCAAAAAAAAAAAAATTATGAGACCATCAGAATCATTCATTATTGATGATTATCAATCTAAACTTTTAGCCGAGATTATCAATCTGTCATTTTTTCTTCCTCATTTTTTGAGAGATTATCAAAATAATTCAACCTTCACAATGAACAAGTGATTGGTCTAGTGGTAATACCACTAGACTTTTACCTGAAGGCCACATGTTTGAATCACTTAAGTTGTAGTCTAGTCACAAAAAAGTAACTTATGTGATTCTTATATATAAAAAATCATTCAACCTCCACAATGTTTTTTCAAATTTATACATTGACATAATACATCTCCTTGGAATACAAAAATTGATTTAATACATCAATTTAATCTAGAGAATCATAACTATCAAATATGGCTTAAATTGTGCCCACATAATCACTCATAATTAGGTGAATATCTAAACGAATTTTTTTAAAAAATTAAGTGAATTAGTTTTTAGCAGAGATACAATATTACATTATTCTGTTTCCAAGAGAAATAAATTTATCACTATTTTTAGGAAAATTTGCTAAATAATGCTACAGTTTGTTTTATTCTACATTTATTTCACAT